ACTCTTCCTGCAGACTCCGCCTCGCTGTTGCCATGGAGACACGCTCCCTCATCCCGGAAGCGGGTGATGCTGCGCCGGGGCGTGGCAGCGCGAGACATTCTTTTGTGCAAACCCCCCCCCACCCCCCCCCCCCCAAGATAAAGAAGTCTGTTAGTGGGTTCATCCCATCAGAAAGTACAGGATTATTATGGATAATAATAACATTCATAATATTAACAACAACAACAACAACAACAACAACAACAACAACAACATCAATAATACACACAGGAATACATACTATTATATTACCCTAACCCTAACCCTATTACATTACATATTAATGTGTATTATTATGTATAACTTATGATTATGATTATTGATCCGCTCCAACCTCAACACAATGTTTTTGTTCCTAGGATGGTGAAGGTAAGTCCTGCCCTAACCCTCAACTTAACCACCCCTAACCTAACACCTAAACTAACCATCTCTAACCTAACACCTAAACTAACCATCTCTAACCTAACACCTAAACTAACCATCTCTAACCTAACACCTAAACTAACCATCTCTAACCTAACACCTAAACTAACCATCTCTAACCTAACACCTAAACTAACCATCTCTAACCTAATACCTAAACTAACCATCCCTAACCTAACACCTAAACTAACCATCTCTAACCTAACACCTACACTAACCATCTCTAACCTAATACCTAAACTAACCATCTCTAACCTAACACCTACACTAACCATCTCTAACCTAATACCTAAACTAACCATCTCTAACCTAACACCTACACTAACCATCTCTAACCTAATACCTAAACTAACCATCTCTAACCTAATACCTAAACTAACCATCTCTAACCTAACACCTAAACTAACCATCTCTAACCTAACACCTAAACTAACCATCTCTAACCTAACACCTAAACTAACCATCTCTAACCTGATACCTAAACTAACCATCTCTAACCTGACACCTAAACTAACCATCTCTAACCTAATACCTAAACTAACCATCTCTAACCTGATACCTAAACTAACCATCTCTAACCTAACACCTACACTAACCATCTCTAACCTAACACCTAAACTAACCATCTCTAACCTAACACCTAAACTAACCATCTCTAACCTAATACCTAAACTAACCATCTCTAACCTAACACCTAAACTAACCATCTCTAACCTAACACCTAAACTAACCATCTCTAACCTAACACCTAAACTAACCATCTCTAACCTAACACCTAAACTAACCATCTCTAACCTAACACCTAAACTAACCATCTCTAACCTAACACCTAAACTAACCATCTCTAACCTAACACCTAAACTAACCATCTCTAACCTAACACCTAAACTAACCATCTCTAACCTAACACCTAAACTAACCATCTCTAACCTAACACTTAAACTAACCATCTCTAACCTAATACCTAAACTAACCATCTCTAACCTAACACCTAAACTAACCATCTCTAACCTAACACCTAAACTAACCATCTCTAACCTAACACCTAAACTAACCATCTCTAACCTAACACCTAAACTAACCATCTCTAACCTAACACCTAAACTAACCATCTCTAACCTAACACCTAAACTAACCATCTCTAACCTAACACCTAAACTAACCATCTCTAACCTAATACCTAAACTAACCATCTCTAACCTAATACCTAAACTAACCATCTCTAACCTAACACCTAAACTAACCATCTCTAACCTAATACCTAAACTAACCATCTCTAACCTAACACCTAAACTAACCATCTCTAACCTAATACCTAAACTAACCATCTCTAACCTAATACCTAAACTAACCATCTCTAACCTAATACCTAAACTAACCATCTCTAACCTAATACCTAAACTAACCATCTCTAACCTAACACCTAAACTAACCATCTCTAACCTAACACCTAAACTAACCATCTCTAACCTAACACCTAAACTAACCATCTCTAACCTAACACCTAAACTAACCATCTCTAACCTAACACCTAAACTAACCATCTCTAACCTAATACCTAAACTAACCATCTCTAACCTAACACCTAAACTAACCATCTCTAACCTGATACCTAAACTAACCATCTCTAACCTAATACCTAAACTAACCATCTCTAACCTAACACCTAAACTAACCATCTCTAACCTAACACCTAAACTAACCATCTCTAACCTAATACCTAAACTAACCATCTCTAACCTAACACCTAAACTAACCATCTCTAACCTAACACCTAAACTAACCATCTCTAACCTAACACCTAAACTAACCATCTCTAACCTAATGCCTAAACTAACCATCTCTAACCTAACACCTAAACTAACCATCTCTAACCTAATACCTAAACTAACCATCTCTAACCTAACACCTAAACTAACCATCTCTAACTAATACCTAAACTAACCATCTCTAACCTAACACCTAAACTAACCATCTTCATGTATGAATGGATTATTTCCCTGTTTTAAACAGTGACTGTATTCATGTATGTTCTGTTTTAAACCACGTGACGCGTGTTGTCACGTTCTCATTCATTATTCACGAGACGCCTTCGTCAGTGTAGGATTATTATTTTTTCCTCCAACCTTTATTTAAAACCACTCAGACTCGGGTCACGTGACCTACCCGGGTAGGTCACGTGACCCGAGTCTGAGTCTGCGCTCGCCTCCTCCATGCCGCTAGCCGCCTAGCAGAGACGACGACACGGCAGGAGGACGCGGCGGGAGGCACGGACCACCACTACAACAACCACCACCACCACAACAACAACAACAACAAAAACAACACGTCGTCGTCTTCCGGGGGTTTGAGGACATTATAATGCGTGAGTGTTTCGTTCAACGACGATGGCGACTGTACCGCGAAATTAACCGTTGCCGTAGCAACCCAGCGGTGCAGTTACACAAGCATAGCTAACCCATACACCCAGCTAGCTGTCAGATGGGGACAACAACAACAACAACAACAACAACAACACCTTCAGACCTGTGTCTTGTTACCTGACACAGTGGGTAAACCATTGTTTTAATATGTAATCCTGACATTTTGTATTTATTTTCTATACTTGTCAAATGTCAACTCCGACCACACCTGACGGCTCTGACTCAGCCGGCTGCTAGCAGTCGGTGTTGACTTTGGACCCCCTGCTGGGGGGGGGGGGGGGGGCGGGGGGGGGGGGGTGTGGACGTTGGTGTGACCGAGCCGGGGTCACATCCCGCTGACGGTGCACGTCTGGTTTGCCTCCACTCGTCAGCAGACTGGAGGTGGTGGTGTGACTGACGGTGTGTCTCGGTGCTGACTCACATGTGTGATGTCACATGCAATGCAAAGCCGAGTCACTGACATGTCAGCCGAGTCACTGACATGTCAGTCAGTGCCAACTCACATGTCCTTTTTTTGCAATCCTGCTTGTTGTATGTTGTATGTTGTATGTTGTATGTTATGTGTGATGTGTCTCTAAGCTACTTGGACCCTGAATTTCCCATAGGGATAAATAAAGTTTTTATCTATCTATCTATCTGACATGTCAGCCGAGTCACTGACATGTCAGCCGAGTCACTGACATGTCAGTGTGGGAGGAATGTACCCTTACATTTAATGATAATACGTAATTATTATCTTGCCATTATGCTATATGAATATGAATCTAATAAGTGTGGAGAAATACAGAGAATCACAGATGGGGAAACTGACATGTCAGCCGAGTCACTGACATGTCAGCCGAATCACAGACATGTCAGCCGAGTCACTGACATGTCAGCTGAATCACTGACATGTCAGCCGAGTCACTGACATGTCAGCTGAGTCACTGACATGTCAGCCGACATGTCAGCCGAGTCGCTGACATGTCAGCCGAGTCCCTGACATGTCAGCGGAGTCACTGACATGTCGGCCGAGTCACTGACGCTGATGCTATATGAATATGAATCTAATAAGTGTGGAGAAATACAGAGAATCACAGATATGGGAAACTCTTATATAAATAAACCTTTGATGTTTAGTGCCCCCAATCACTGACATGTCAGCCGAATCACTGACATGTCAGTGATTCGGCTGACAGCTGAGTCACTGACATGTCAGCCGAGTCACTGACATGTCAGCCGAGTCACTGACATGTCAGCCGAGTCACTGACATGTCAGCCGAGTCACTGACGCTGATGCTATATGAATATGAATCTAATAAGTGTGGAGAAATACAGAGAATCACAGATATGGGAAACTCTTATATAAATAAACCTTTGATGTTTAGTGCCCCCAATCACTGACATGTCAGCCGAATCACTGACATGTCAGTGATTCGGCTGACAGCCGAGTCACTGACATGTCCGCTGAGTCACTGACGCCATGCCGTTCTAATGGATATTGTGTATTTGGTGTACCGCCTTCTCTCTGTAACCCAATCTGCTCTCTGTGTGGTTCAGGCGGGGGAGGCTTGGGGGAGCGCTTGGTGGCGGCCCGCTGATCTCTCTCCCTCTCCAGCGACTCGCCGCGCGTCGCCGCCGCCGCCGCCGCCGCCGCCGCCGCCGCCGCCGCCGCCGCCATCATGTACCCCTTCGGCTGCGACGCCCAGACGTCCCGCCGGGACCTGTTTGTCTTCTTCAAGCGGTGCTTGCGGCACGCCGAGTGGGAGCTGGCCGCCGCCTGCGTGCCCCAGCTGGTCGGCCCGGCCGGAGGACACGCGGAGGATGTGAAGGACATCATTAAAGCCATCATCTCACGCCCCTACAAGTTGAAGTATGTATAAAAAAAAACTAAAAAAACAACAACTACTAAGGCTTTCTGTGTCGGCAATCAAAAGCCAAAGGCATTTCCTTTGCGCAACAGTTACACTGAGTTATTTGTATAAGTGGAATATGTAAAAGCCAGCGCATGATTTGTGGGTGAAGTCCTCAGGATATTACCTTCTTCACTTGGCTGTACTGCAGCACAGTGACCTCCTTGATACTATTTACAGTTTAATGGCATACTGTTAGCGTCAACATTATTAAACATAATAAAGGGGGATAGTCTAGTAGTGGATAAGGTTGTTTGGCTCCGAAAGCCAAAAGGTTCTGGGTTCAAACCCCGATGTCTTCCCCTGTAGGCGTTCGGCGAGATGCCGTCACCCCTTCCTGCTCATTAACGACACGAATCTAAAAGCTGTATGTCGCTTTGGATGGAACTGAATGAATGTTGAAAGACTGAGCGGCCCAAACTAATTTAGCTCCTGGCTACAAGCGGCTGTAGTCAGGGGGGCTAATCCAATAAAAAAGGAAGTGGCTGTTATTGAATGACATGACGTGTGCTCATTGGTTGTGATTCTGCCCAGGTGGCAGTCTGTGGGAACGCCGCACAAGCTAGCCTGGTTCTGGCTTCAGGTGCTGGAGAAATGCACACAGGAGCGGGTAAATATGAACTGTTTTAATATTATTAAATACATTAATGTTATTAAAGGTCCTGTAGACACGTTTTTTGGCTTTCACATATCAATATGAAGTAAATGTTGATGGCACAGTGTACTGGCTACAGAATAATGACGTCGGCGTTTAGGTTGGTTCCCTTAGCTTCCCTATAAGCCTAGCCCTTAGCTTCCCTATAAGCCTAGCCCTTAGCTTCCCTATAAGCCTAGCTTATAGGGAAGCTAAGGGACAAAGAAAACAAGAAAACATATCCCCATTAGCGGAAATGGCCGACGGTGGAACAACCAAAGTAAAGCCAATCTGATGACACTACTTATATCTGCGTACGCTACGTTTTTGCATCGAATATACAGACAGCATTTCAAAACCAACAGTGCTTCACTACCAGTTGGTTTACTACTAGCACCAGCCTAACTACGCTAACTAACTACGCTAACCCGAGCTCTGTCGGCCCCTCCAGGTTTCCACGGTGACCAGGAAGGAGCTGGAGTTCCTGCTGCTCCTGGAGGAGCTGGGGGAGGAGGGCATTCAAGAGACCGCACTCAAGGTGGTGTTTTAAATACATATGCACTTAATACGGAATATGGCAAAGTCAAAAATATGCAAAGAATGTGTTAAACAAATCATTTGTATTTGCATGACCCGTATTTGCATCCTATCATGTCTGATACGATGAACCGCTTTTATTGCTTCACAAAGTTTGCACGCAGCGGCTCGTAGATAACGAAGAATAAATATTATTTACATTCCAGAATCAGGAATGTAACGTGTAATGGTTTGACCGACCGGCGTTGCTGCCTGTCATTGTGTTTCATGAGTGATGTTTGTTTCTTGTTTTTGGGGAGTTGGGGAGTTGTTCTTTGCTCTTTTGAGGGTTTAGGGTTTAGGCTTGGCCGGGCCGTGGAATCCCCTTAATCCCTTTTTAATGGCGTTTTTCCATTTGCACTTTTGGCCGCGCCGAGTCCAAACCATGCTGCGCAGTTGGACTATACTTGTTCACTTGTTTCATTTGTTGAATCTAAAATAACGGGGAAAAAAGGAGAGATCGTAAGAACAACCTGAAGATCCATGATGATATGTAAACAGCGCTATAGAGGGAGCTGCTTTTAAACGTCATCGACTCAAGACAAGCGTGTCATCAGTTAAACACACACCTTCAAGTGGGAAGCCCTGGAGACGAAAATCCCAGCCGTGCTAGGCTGACGCGCCGAGCCAAACCGAGTCAAACCGAGTCAGACCAGGCCAGCACATTGTATGGAAAAACGCCATAAGACTGTAACTGTGTTAAAGCGATATTTACTACTTCAATGTTATGGCTATTTATTTAATTTAGCAGTACCTTTGTTCAAAGTGACTTGGGGGCACTAACCCCTATATAGGAACTGATTTGGTGAGGGTTGTCAAATTAGGACCTGTGAATCCCTTTCAAACTGTCATTGTGATAAAGGGATATACAAATAAAGTTGTGGTGACGGTTGTGCTCGTGTCTCGGAGCAGGAGCTGCACGGGGCCTTTCTGGAGACCCAGTCCACGCTGGAAGGGCCCGGCGTTTCCACGGCGACCGCCGCCTGCGTGGAGTCCTCACTGCGGACCGTGCTGGACCGGAGGAAGCCGACCCGGGCCCAGGCGCTCGCCCACTTCCTCCAGGTGGGATCCCGCAGAGATCTGCATTAGGGCTGCACCCATTAGTCCATTCATCCATCCAACATTTATCAAATCACATTTTTATAATCGATTAATCGTTTAGGTCATTTATCAAGTACAAATCCCAAGCATTTGCAGCTTGATGCTTCAGAAATGTTTGGTTCATGGATCATTATAAAATGAATACTTTAGTTTTTCTTGGCTGCTTGTCAGATAAAGCAGCACATTAAAGAAATCACTTTGGACTCTGGTTAACTTGTGATGGCATTTGCTGCTATTCATGACAATTTCTAGACTAAATGATTCATCGAAAAAATGATCGTTAGATTAATCGACCAATAAAATAATGACTAGTGGCAGCCCTAATCTGTGGACGGTATGGATGTGAGTCCTTCTCTTAAGAGTTCATTTGTCCCCTGAGAGAGAGACTAAAACACATTGCAGTCAGTGAGAAGACAATAGTTATCGTTATAGTTCAGCATAGACTACAACCCCCCCCCCTGCCCCCCCCCTCAGTTCTTCTTCATCAAAACAAGTAACCACATTCAGTATGACAACCAAAATAACTTCAGCCTACCCCCCCCCCCACCCTGCTGGTTCCAGGGCCCTTCGACAGGCGGCCGCAGGGACTCCACCCTGCAGGATCCCTTCATCCACTACCTGCTGGAGCGCCTGAGGAGCCCCGAGGAGCGCAGCGCCGAGTGGGTGGACGAGATCTGCGGCGTGCTGTCGGCGATGCCCCCCAGCTCGGAGCGCAGCCGGGCCAGCGGTCACTTCCAGACGCTGTGCGAGGAGCTGTGGGGGTGCCGCGGCGGCCCGCTGACGGAGGAGCGGGTGCTGAGCGCTCTGCTGCGGCCCCACTGCGACACCCTGGTGGGGGTGTACAGCGCCACCGCCCTGCGCCTGCAGAGGGACCACCTGCTGAGGAACACACCTGGGGTGCCAGGTAGGGCCGCACCTCGATTGATTGATTGATTGATTGGTTGATTAACTTTATTAACTCGCGCCATACCAACTTAAAGCACACCCTTACTTCAACAGTATTGTTTGGTGTCAGAATTGATTGAATTGATATGATTAATTCATATGTTTTTATAGGGCTTGTACATCAGAATGCATCATGGGATTTTTTGTTGGCGATAATCTGCGATATTGAGAGGACTCCAGAGAGTTGTAGTTCTGTAAAATCAACGTAAATATACCGTAACCTAGGCTGAAAACATTGTTTTAATAATAATAATAATAATAATAATAATAATAATAATACATTTTATTTGTTGGCGCCTCTCTAGAACCCAAGGTCACCTTACATGTAACATATGTAACAAACAAAACAGATATGAAATACAATAGCACATAATATAAATACATACAAAGAAAATACAGTGTGGCCAGAAAATAGATAAGGTGGATAAAACGGTTGGGGGACAGAGTGTTACAGGGAGTAGGATCATTATTTTGCCACGTCTCGCATGAGAAACGCTGCGGCGGTTCCCAGCACAACAATGTCTCCCCATAATGATGAATCATTTCACGTTAATTACTAAACAATGACCAAGTAACCATGACTACCAACACAATAACTAACATTACAACGCTCCCATGCTCCCAAGATGGAGGCGGTCATTGCGATGTGACGATGTGATGTACAAGCCCTATATGTTTATTTATCTTCAGTGGTTAAATCTCCGGCTAATTGTTTGGTTAACAACATTTTATGTCCTATACGTAATTTTGTTCTCTGTGTTGTTTTGGGGCTCAGTCAGTCTTTTGTGTAAAACTACTGCTGTGAAATGAAGTTGAGATAGATTTAGTTTGGGCTACTTTCATGCTACGAACCCTCAGATTTGTCTGAGGGTTAATTTTAGATTTTGAAGTGAAAGAGAGCAGAGCAGTAGAAGTGGAGTAGAGGGCAATGGAGGACTCAGCTTGTAGAGCAGCAGTCCGGGTCCAGACCCGGGACAAAGGTCTACAACAGTGATGTGGTCCTAGAACGGCTGTCAGTCGTGTTTTATACTGTGAACATTTATGGTAATGTCACAATGTGACATCAGTTTTTTTCTGATTGTTGGGTTGTGTATGTCACAAGTTAAAATGTTATGCAATATGTTTGGATAGCACGCTAGCTGAACAGTGGGGATGTTGCTGAACCAATCGTATTGGAAGACAAGGTGAAAATGTGCAGCTGTACGTGCCATCTGGGATCTGTTTATCTGCCTCCACTCTCACTTCTCCTTGCTCATTTAAAGCTGATTTTGCTGTTCCACTGGCTTTACTGGTTTTACTGTTCAAATCACAGAAGTAGACAACGAGACAAAGTAGACAACTAGCTAGTCCACTAGTCACTAGGACTCAAAGGCTTTCCTCAACTTTATTTCCTTTATTTAGCTTGGATGAATAAAGTTACAGCTCATGGGTCACTTGTTGTATTTCCGGGTCCTGGTCAGGTTTTTGTACCTCCTGACCTGAGGTTTGTTTTTGTCTACAGTCGATCTCCCTGAAGCAGAGAAGCTGGTCCTCAGCTTGTGTTGCCATGACGACCGTCCATTAGTATGGAAGACCACTTACTTCGAGTGCCTTAGTAGTGGGAAGCACTTCTTGGAACAAGTCTTGGTGAGTCGACCGGTACACGAAACACAAAGACATTAAGGAATAAGGAAAAGGGAATTACTTTAATGAATGTATTTCACCAGATTGATGAAACTGTTTATGACACGTTCATATACATTACAGGTATATTTATGTCTGCTTTTAGAAGCACTCATTCAATGCTTTAATAATTAATAAACTGAGGGGGCAGGATGGCGTCTTGGTTACGGTGTTTGTCTCCCAGCCAAAAGGTGCTGGGTTCGATACCCAATGTCCACAGTCAAACCTGTGGGCATCCTCGAACCAGATGCCCCCTAACGCCCACCTGCTCCTTAATGACACGTTTGGATGAAAGTGTTGCCAAGTGAAGTAAAAAGTGTGGTGGGTTGTGGTGTGTCCTAGGTAACGGGTCTGGACCTGATCAAGCGGGAGGAGTTCTCCTGGCTGG